CATTTACTGTGATCATTTCCACAACATTTATCTGAAAAGCCACTGCAGTCAGCTCACTTCAGTGGCTTTGATTGTTTCCGGTACTAACTTCACTACACATCATTTTAGGTAAATGATGGACTGGATATCATTTAGGCATAACAAGGATAATTTATTTATAGCTTGATGGCTGCACAAACTAGTGCACAAATAAGTGTTCATATTTTCCCCAGGCTTGAATAGGTTATGCTGAAAATCCATGTAATGCTTTCACTCTTCTTACTACCAAACTAGTTAAACATGACTGAGATTGGCTCATTGGTACTGAAAATCACACATTCTGTCAGAGGTGTTGACTTAACATTTTCCCTTGTGTGCTCTAGACATAGTTATTCCAAGAAACAGTCAGTAACACACTGAGAAATACAGAGCATGATATATAATTTGAATAACAGATATACACGCAGCTGGAAACACTGCTAGTGATGATTCCTCTTCAATTTATCAATCTTAGTGACATTTTCCTGAGCTTTCATAAATCTCTGCTGTCATATTTGTTGGACTTGGTAAACATAATAAATATAATAGTCAAGAAAAAAATTGCATTTTGTGACAGAAGATTGGGAAGATGTAAAGAATTGGAATAAACTGGTATTTTCCCACAGATTTTTTACTTGTTTATAATGACTATATCTATTTCTTAAAGAGTGTATAACATATCTAGTAAATAATCTTTCTTTCTTTCTTTCTTTCTTTCTTTCTTTCTTTCTTTCTTTCTTTCTTTCTTTCTTTCTTTCTTTCTTTCTTTCTTTCTTTCTTTCTTTCTTTCTTTCTTTCTTTCTTTCTTTCTTTCTTTCTTTCTTTCTTTCTTTCTTTCTTTCTTTCTTTCTTTCTTTCTTTCTTTCCTTCCTTCCTTTCCTTCCTTTCTTCCTTTCCTTCCTTCCTTTCCTTCCTTTCCTTCCTTCCTTCCTTCCTTCCTTCCTTCCTTCCTTCCTTCCTTCCTTCCTTCCTTCCTTCCTTCCTTCGTCCTTCCCTCCCTCCCTCCCTGCCTTCCTTCGTTCCTTCGTTCCTTCCTCCCTCCCTCCCTTCCTTCCTTCCTTCCTTCCTTTCTCCCTTTCTTTCTTTTCACCATTATTTCTGTCCTTTTCTTTCAGTTGCACTTACTTTCACAGCAGCGATAGCCCTAATATGCATTACTTAATAATTTTTCACTTTGTTCTTATTTCGTGACTTGGCAGCCAGGAGAACCAACCATGTCCTAGGGTGCATCAAGCACAGCACTGCCAGTCAAAGGAGGTGATTGTCCTGCTGTACTCTGCTGCCTCACCTCAAGTAGTGTGCAGTTTTGTGTGTCAATTATAAGAGAAATTAGAAAGACAGAAATTAGCATCTTTGGACACCATTAGAGAGGTGTCCAAAGCATAGAAAGGAGGGTTATGAAGATGGTGAAGGACCTTGAGGGGAAGCTGTATGAGGAGTTGCTGAGGTCACTTGGTCTGTTCAGAGTGGAAGAAAGATTGAGGGAAGACCTCAGTGCAATTGTAACTTCCTTGTGAGGGGAAGAAGAGAGGCAGACACTGATCTCTTCTGTGTGGTGACAGTGGCAGGACCTGAGGGAATGGCCTGAAACTGTGCCAGGGGAGGTTTAGGTTGGATATTAGGAAAAGGTTCTTCACCGAAAGGATCACTGGGCATTGGAACAGGCTCCCCAGGGAAGTGGTCACTGTACCAAGCCTGACAGAGTTCAAGAAGTGAACAGTGCTCTCGGGAACATGTTTCCACTCTTGGGGCTGTCTCATGCAGGGCCAGGATCTGAACTTCCATGTCCCTGAGAGTCCTTTTCAGCTCAGGATATTCTGCTATTTTATCATTCTGTGACTTAATTACCACAACTCTACCACCTCAAATTCAATTTTGAATTCTACAGTACCAAACAAACTAAAAGTTTGACCTGTCTACCTTAAAAAAATTAGATTTTAGTCTTATATCTAAGTTGTTTTCTCCAGTTATGGCATTCACTTCCTTATGTGGAGGAACAGAAGAAAGACATACCAAGAAGGAATATATATGTGCATAATCCTTATTTACCTGTATGTATATCCTGAC